CGCCTGCAATTTCCTTTTCACAGCGTTTGCTCAAGAGCAAGGTACTTTCCGCTCAATTTCTATCGCGTGTCGCGTGAAAGTGCAACTCTATTACAGAATAAACTGTCAATGTACTTATGGTTGTCTACTCAGGTTTGCCCGTTAGGCATGACAAACTATCAACAGCTACTGCTTACCAGTTAGCACCTTTTCACTTTTTCACTTTCCTGACTAATACATTTATAGATACAATTTTTATGTTATAGCTAGATTTTTAGCACATGATTCTGCTATTACTATACAGCTAGCTCTTAATTTATTTAACTGTCATATTGAAGTAGTTGAGAATTTTATTAGATAATACGTTTACTTCTAATAAAACTTACTGAATATTTTCTTAAAATTTCGTTATATTTATTTTCCGTAGTTCCAAGTAATTAATACGAGTATTTTCAGTTAGGAAAGCTAACAAATTTTTAGTCATATAGTTATTAGATCTGCATCGATATTTAAGCAGTATTTATATGTGGGTGATATGGCAGTCAAAATGTTACAGGACTAACTATCTAGCTCTTATTTTATTTAACTGTAATATTGAAGTAGTCGAGAATTTGTGTTAATCTTAAACAAGTATAATAAATCATCCTTTACTGTATACAATAACAAATACAGAAGCACCGCAGTGTTCACGTATCAATGTAACTATGTGTGCCAACCATGTTAAACATTCAACACATCCCTCTAAAATTTGTTTACAGGTAGAGGTAACCTTTTTTTAACCGGAGTGATATGATTTTTTATTTACACTCTATTTTTAGACAAACACCATGACCTACATGAAAGTCATTCGGGGTCACCGGACATCAACTCCGATGGGCAATATATCGTGTAAAGTTTAACTCATTCAACTCATTCAAAATTTAAAGTCTGATTTATGGTATCATATAAATCATCAATTATCACATTGGTAATTTACATACGTAATTTTTGAGGAGGTATTACAGGTGTTCGAAATGTTGACTTTGAATATTGATACACGTAAAACCTTGTGATGCGAATAACGCTGTATGACGAATTTTGTTTAGAATTATCACAAAGCAAGCACCTCTTACGCGTTGTATCTTTGTCATCCCATAAATAGAAATCTAGAAGTGTGAAGTGTGGGGAACGTGATGGACATTTGTTAGCTGCACGATTGAATTCTTCTGTGAAACATTTTAAGGTGAAGTGGGGTAAGTTCGTAAACGGGGCAAGTGCGTATACAGACTATTTTTATTACAATATGAACGAAATTTCACCATTTAGTATGTTTGCTTTCTTGTTTTGTTTCACTATATCCCCTTTTATATTTCAGCTAAGAATACTTGTTTGCAGTATAGAGTACTTGCATAATGCAGTAAAAAGCATTTTAATGTAGATTTGTTAATAATTCTGCTCTTGCCCCATTGCACATGAAATAAAGTTTCAAAGTATTTAACTTCAAGTTACGCTCTTACCCCATTTTCGGGGAAAGTGCAGTGTAGTTGACATTTTAAACAATTTCCTATCAAAATCAAAATGTACAAGGAAAATTAAGGTTTTAGTTAATATTAATTAAATAGTAGTAATTGTGCAAAGCGTTCGATATCGACAGCGGTAAGTATTTACATAGCAGACTGAAAATACTTACGTTTAAATACTAACTTTACAAAAACCAGTCTGCACTTACCCTACTTCACCTTATCATCTACAATAGCGATATAGCAACAATAAGGAACTGTAATATTCAGAAAATGCATTGATACAATTTATTTACCATTTTAGTTAACTCAGAAAAATTACAGCATGGTTCTAAGTATATTCTAACTCTTAGAGACAGATTCATTATTAGAATTTTCCGCTTTTTAATTTTGCAAGCTCAGATGAAAGAGTTGTAAAATGATCTTCAGTATTTTCTTTGCTATTTTAGCAAATTTTCTTTATTTTCTTTATCCATATGATGAAAGTATGTCATCTAGTAAATTAATTCATCTAGATTCTGAAAATGATTTGGTTTGGTTCAATTGTGAAAAATTGTTTTAAAAAATTGTTATACCTATTTTATACATATTTTAGACATTGTTTGTGAATAAAACTGAAGTTGCAATTCCGTGAAATAACTCGAAACGACCTTCAAAAATCATTGAATGGTTTCATATTGAAAGTATGGATTGAATTGTTATTCGCAAGGTTAACAGGATCGTGAAAGGGAAATATTTCGCTTTGTGACTTAATCGGCTTTCAAGAAGTTTAAACACTTTTGTTTATATCACGGAATGTATAACTAACTATTACATATAACTATGTCTCACCATTTGTCAAAAATGTGAATATTTTTTTAGCGATTGATTGAATAATTCGTTTGGTAATAAATTTTTGTATTAATTCAAAAATTTTTCTATATTAACTCAATATATAAAATTTGAGAGTATAATTTTGTAATATTGTTTCATGTGTACATGAAACTAATAAAATTTTCAATTTGCAAATTTCTATATTTGCAATATTTGCTGTATATGTAACAGTATAGTAGAGAAACGCTGCCAACTTCAAATTCGTAGTACTTTCAAGGAAATAATATTAAATAATTAACTGAATTTCTTCAGAGAAGAAGTTCCAACTTATTTAAACAAAACTGTTTAAAATATTAACTATTAATCCCGAGTAATTTAGTACATAGCTAATCATTTATGTAGAAAGAAGACAATAATTGCAATGAATAATTCAGATCTTTAATGAATACTCCAAATTATTCCGCATAATTGCAGACACTACGTCTGATTTATTAGTGAATCTGTATTCTATATAAATTGCTATAAAACAATACAAATGAGTCCCAAAAAACTTAATTAAGAACAGTTATAAAAATAATGATCTCTTAATTACTGTAAATTGTATTTGAATTAAATATAAAATACACTATGAAACTTTTTGATTCATCAATTTTATAATAAAGAGCAAAATTATACTTTAAATAAAATTAAATAAATATCAACTGATTTTACATAAAGAAATAAAAAAAAAGATTTTAGAAATTATAGTACTAGTTACAAATCTGCGTTTAACATGGAATTACATTGTATTAATATGGAATACTTTATTCTTATCTAATTTATTTCAGCATTTATTAGCAATCACTTCAGTACAGAAACTTCTTTTTACTACAGTTAATTAAACAGTTAAGCGGATCTTTAAGAATCTGTAAGACTCCTTGATTAGTTTTACACTATCTAACTTTTTACAAAGTCTTTTCATTAAGATTTTCATTAAGAGTGGGCTATAGGGTCGGTTTACAAGTCGTTGTGTTTTCTCCGTAGAAATAAGGTCTTGACCAAATGAACTTCTTTCTATTTTTAAAGACAATTGGTTAAGAAAATTCGTTTATGTGGTTTATTGGTGTATAAATAAACCACATATTTTACTATCATTATCAAAAACACTTCGTTTCTTTGTTAATTACAATCTTTTTATGTCACATATAATTTGTAATATAAATTACTATTTGTATAAATTTGTATAAAGTACTTATACAGATTTTATTATTATTATTTTTAGGTGTTTAAAAATGTATTCTTTTACGAAATGTATTCATTTTACGTAACGAACAGTTAAATAAATATTTCGAACAGGATTACCGCGGCTAATGTAGAACACCTGGATTTAAAAGCTTACCAAACACAGAAACATGTTCTCTCTTCTGTGAAATCGTTATTAAAACATTATAATATTAATGAATATTTGAATCGTAATGGTGAAATTAATGTCTTAAAATTATGGTAAAAAAATGTAAAATAAGTCAAAAGCAGCTTGAAAAAAAACATGACAATATAACCTAAAATGTATGTCAATAAAATCTAAAACACTTTATTTCTATCATGAAAATTGATATTCATTTAAACAAACAAGACAAATAAATAAATGTCCACTTGTTTTAAGTTCATCTTATAGAATCCTATGCATTGTGTACTTACACTGTCCACATTTAAATACATCGAATTTATTTTCCACTATTACTATTATAATAATAGTGGAGAATAATAATTAGAATAATAAAACTTAAAATACTACGTAATATCAACAAGGAACGTGTGCTTAATATGGAACATGTCCCACATTACGTAAACTCAACATGTTCCATATTGCGTACATTCGTATTTCGACAGGAAAATAATAACTATGTATGAAGAAGACGAATTTAACGATAAATCACTTTTGGACACTGAAAAACAGATACGTTTAGTAATAAATCATGCAAGAGTAATATTTTATATCACACTTTCATTTTTACTTTTGACTATTGTTACGAAGAGGTGTCGAAAAACATTTTTCAAATTTTAACTTAAAATTAACTTTAAATTAAAATTTTTATCACTTTTTATATAATAGTTGTTAAATTAATTAAGCGATATCGTTTTCTCCCAGCTCATCCTACATCCAAAAATGTGCATATGGTGTACTTATTTCTACCATGAGGTGTTTTTTCATACCTTAAGGCTTAACCTATTCAAGATGGCGATTTTTTTCGAACAAAGTCCCCAAGAGCAAAATTTGTTTTTTTTTCATTATACTTTTCATTTTTAATAAAAAAAGACTTGTTTACTATGGAAATAACCATGTTCATAAGTGAATTCGCATAAATAAGATGATTGCACACCACGTGTGCACCTCGCTCCTCAGAATATGTTTATTGCGAGCAGCAGATTGCACACCATGTGTACAATATAAGGTAAAATAAAAATACATCACTAAAATTGATAAACACTTGTTTCAAAAATAGATAATATAAAACCGTTATTTTGCTTTCAATAATTTCGAATACAACATAATACAAAGAAAATTTTTAAGAAATAGTAAAATGTCAGAAAAGTGAGTTGAATAATGAAGAAAATAATATAAACGACAAATAAATTTTTAGAAAAATAAAGTAATATAACTCGATAATAAAAAGGAAAACATAATTTGTAAATACATTTTTAGGAAATATTACACTGATCGCAATGTAGCTATACATTAGTTAGTCGATGATACTGCTTGAAACATTCTCCCAAACATAATCCAGGATTGCCGACGCAAGTTGGACAAAAATAATTGCTACGTCTATATTTCCCTTCCTTATAGCACTGCCTGCAAATCTTCCTGTTTACTTTCCTATGTTTATTTCTTGGTAAAATTTCAGGTAGATGATCATTTGTTTTTGGTATTGTTGTCCTACTGCCTCCGGAGTTTTCAATTAAGTTTTTTAAAATCTCTAAACGATAGTCATGAAAGTTCAATTTTTTTATCGTTGGTGAATACGTTTTGTATAAATTAAATGAATTTATAACCAAAGTTTCAACTAAATGAATCCATAATTTTATGTACCATTTAAATGTCTTCCTTGAGCAAGAATAATAAGACAGCATCTGATCTTTGCGCTCTATCCCTTTCATATGATTGTTATAGTAATGCAACGCAATTGGTTGCACAATATTTTGTTTATGTTTATTTTCGTATTCTTTTAACGTTGCTGTGTATTCATTTGATATGAACAACACGTCTCTTTTATCTTTAAATTTACCTATCATTACATTGTCTTTGAACCGAAAAATTACTTCATTTTTCGACAGTTCTTGTTTTATCACTTCCGAATCATTTCTCTTCCTTGTCTTTCTCAATGCTCCTGTGCAGAAAGTTTTGTAATGAAGCAATTTCGAAGCTAAACCAAAAGAACTGTAATAATTGTTCATGAAGACTGAATGTCCCTGATTCAGAAAATCTTTTAACAAATGAAAGACAATATGTTCTTTTTCACTTATATCGTCACCACTTCCTGTGTATGCTTTTATTCGTAACGCGGTACCAGAACTTTCGCACACAATGCATAACTTTACACCACGTTTGTGTTTTTTAGCAATAGATTGTTTAAATATTAAACTTCCTCTCCAAGGAACTAGAAATTCATCCATTGATAATTCTTTGCGAGGATAATATATTTCACTCATTTTATTATTAAAATAATCTACAACTGGTATTATTTTCCGTAGGCGATCATTATCAGAAGAGAAACGAAGCGATCGTAAGATATTTTGAAATCTTTGTCTACTCATATGTCGGGAAAACCACTGAAAACCAAATTGTTCGCTCTTACTCCAATAGTTATCAATTCTTGGGCATTTGATAGTTCCCATATGTAGTAACAAACTTAAAAACACCTTAAATTCCGAAATGGTTAACTCCTTCCATTTTTTCTCAAAAATTATTTTACCGTAGTTGTTTGTTTCATTCACAGTCAAAGAGAAAAAGGTGTTATCAAATAAAAGTTCAAAAAAATCGTACGGACTATCTCCGTTTGGTGACTTTCGGAGACGTGGTTTACCCACAAAAGGAATTTTTATAAAAGAACCATCATCTTGCCACGTATCTTCAATAAGTTCACTTTGGTGCTGTTCAATTTCACTTTCGGTTTCACTTTCAGTGTCAGTATAATCGCTATCACTTTCCTCAAAAACCTCATCTTGTGCATCATCTAAGAGTTCAATACTTATATTCATGTTTTCCTCACTTTCTGAATCACTATCACTATCCGTAACAACAAAATTTCTATTTGCAAGCATGTAGTCATCACTTTGATTATCATTGGTTGCATCTTGCATTTTTGATGTTCCTGCCTTACGATCTGCCATTTTAGGAGGTAATTTTAAACTTGAGAATTTTCTTGTAAGACTGAATTGTATACGTTGTTATTAATGTTCTTTTCGGGTAAAACAGTGCAGAGCTTAACCCTTTCGAAGCCGATTGCACACTGTGTGTGCAATTGATTTTCGAGGTTATAAGACCGGTTGCGCACCAGGTGTGCAATTGATTTCCGTGGCTAAGACTGGTTGAGCACCAGGTGTGCAATAGTAGTAATGAGTAATTATCAGTTATTCTAAGTAAAATAGTCGTCGAGCTAAGGTAAGTCGTCTTTACGTTTAACGACATACTTTCGACCGAAGCTCGAATGCTAATACAAGTATTTTTTCTAACGATACATTTTAAATAATTATTAATCCCTTCTTGTACTTTGACGAGTCTCACTCGTGACGCACTTATAGCTCAAATGTGACAAACCTTACTGAAATTTTGAATACTCTTCAACTTGAAATTTATGTCGGGCTATAAGTTACATTATAAAGGTCCCTGAATATAAAATAGTTACATTTTAATTTTCTTTGTTCTTTTTAATGTTATGGCCCTGAATAATTAGTCTTGACTGACTAATGGATATTATTTGGATGTAGGTTGGATATTATTTTTTTGGGTGAGTTTTGGGGAATTTTGGAATTTGGAGATTTGGGGATTTGGGAATTTGGGATTTGGGGATTTGGGAATTTGGGAATTTGGGATTTGGGGATTTGGGAATTTGAGGATTTGGGGATTTGGAGATTTGGAGATTTAGGAATTTGGGGATTTGGAGAATTTTGGAATTGGGGATTTAGGGATTTGGGGAATTTTGGAATTGGGGATTTGGGGAATTTTGGAATTGGGAATTTAGGGTTTTGAGGAATTTTGGAATTGGGGATTTAGGGGTTTGGGGAATTTTGGAATTGGGGATTTAAGGGTTTGGGGAATTTTGGAATGGGGGATTTGGAGATTGGGGGAATTTTGGAATTGGAGAATTATGGAATTGGGGAATTATGGAATCGGGGAATTATGGAATCGGCGAACCATGGAATCGGGGAATTATGGAATCGGTGAGTTATGGAATCGGTGAATCATGGAATCGGGGAATTATGGAATATAATTCCTAACTCCAGGGTCGTTACACATGTGTTAAATAAATGGCACGGGAAGAGGTTAATAAAGCTACCTTTATTTACTGAAATAGTGCAATGTTTCATATAACTATCTACGAATTTTATATCTTGAATACTCAGTTGTGAATATCTTCTTCCTCAAGCCATTTTGATATTGTTAATTTTATTACTGTAAGTTCACCCATATTTGCAAACAACCAACGAGCATGGACCATTATGCGAGTATTCAACGTAGAAACTCTCCGAGTTCACGAGGTATAAAAAGAAGTTAAAAGATACGAAATTAACGGAGATGTACTATAGAGAGGCAATTCTTTTTTCGATAAATGTTTGCGTTGTACTTCTGTTCAGTTCCACGAGCTCTTTATACCTTTTTGTTCACAAAAACGAACGGTGTATCGTTCAAATGTACAGAACCGTTTCATTTTCATTCGAATGCAAGTTAACAAGTGAACCACAAACCTTTCAAACGCAGTCACCGTGAATTTAAATCGTTGAAGTTCGTCCGTGAATTTTCCACGCAGCTCTTCACGCCATAATATGTATTTCGACTGCTCAATTTTTGAAAGATAATCCAGAGAATCTGGATAGTTGGCGTTTAAACAGTACGAATGAAAATTGAGGTATTTCCTGAGTAACGAATGCATTTACCGCTGCAGTGATAATGGTATTACATTGTTAATAAAATGAATACATGACTGTGATCAAAAGCAGTATTTGATAACAAAATTAAACATATAATTGAGGAAATTGTATTTACAAATTTCAGTGGGATACAAATGGAAAGTTACAAATTAACTTTGGAATATAATATGAGAAAGTAGTAATTGTTATGGCTGTACACTTTTTTTTAATTAAATTTTATTTAATTATTGAAATTGTATTGAACGAATCAAAAGGATTTGAAACAATATAGAGGACATCAAGTATTGCAAAATTACATTTAAGTTGTCATTCAAAGAGAATTAAAAATGACTGAACAAACTTTTGTCAATGTTTTTAACATAAATTAATTAATTCTTGGAGCAATTAAATTAATCACTGCATTTACAGGTAACAATGCACCTTGGTAATGTTAATTATCAAATATTAACTAATGCTTACTAAATATTTAATTACTAAAGTAAAGTAAAGTAAAGTAAATTAAATATTTAGTAATACTAAATTGTTTACATTGTTTATTTGTCCATACATGAACAGAATAAAATAATTTTATGTATACTGCATATATTTGCAAAAACTTTGGGTAACCTAACAGATTTTCTAACCTGTTATCTAACCTAACAGTTCTGTATTTAAATTACACAGTGTATTAAAATTATACAGAAAATCTTTTTGGTTAGTAATTTTATTTTCATGTCATTGTTATAATATTTAGCTTATTCAGTCGGATAAACTTTTAACAGATTGTTCCCACTAAAATAGCTTACAAATATTTATGAATAATTCATACGTCACCCGGATATGGCTGACATGGTACTAAAAATGTTAAACACGAATTGCAGAATCTATTTTACCATGTCATAGTCTAATATTTTATCATGTCATGCATGATTTTGTATTATTTCATTTTTACATGAATATACAGTACAAATAAATTTTCTTATAGATTATATTATGTAGGTTATGTAAATTGTTTAATAAAATTTTACTTTCATATATCTTCTTATAAACTGCCTCTCTGTATCATACAATTGTAACGAAAGTACAAATTTAAGTATAATAATAAGGCTAATACGAGTACCAAATACTTTGCTCTTTTGTTTATTACATTTTCAGAATATACTTGACTTATTATCAATAAATAAATTATTATTAACTATCAACAAAATATAATAGTTTACAATGTAGTAGTTCAAATTTTTGATTCTGTGAAAGACTACATATTTTAATATTTAAAAAAAATGTGTAATAATATTTAATATTTAAATATTTCAAAAATGTTGAAACATATTAAAAATATTAAAATTAAGTTGTTAAGGTATTAAAATTTAAATATCAATATTAAAATTCAACCTTAAAAACATTAAAATTGAAGTATTCAAGTAAAATGTTTTAATATTTTTTAATATCTGACACGTAAACATGAAAGATATTTTTAAGCTCCTCTTCATTAATCAAATGGTGACACGACGATTAGTTTTGCGAACTGGTGGAACCCGTTTCCTAGAAATTGCAGTTCTTTCACTGATGCACGATTTATATATTAATAGTCATCGCGAAAGCGAAACGAAATGCTAGAAATGACTAGCATGTTCTATTCAGACGGAGAAATTTATAGATTGCTAGCTTTTCTTACGATAATTAACTCGTAGCTCCTGTTCGTACGTCTAAGTTTAATGTTGATGAATCAATAACTGCAACTGCATCTATACGGGTTAATAAATCTCAATTGTAGTTGGGTGAAATTGTATGCAATTTACTAATTCATTGCATTCAATTTACAACAAACAATTAAAGTGCTGTATGGTATTAATTGGTAGTAAATTCTTGAGTTTACTTTGTTAAATTATTTAAGTCTATTTTAAGTCTATTTAAGTCTATAGTATCACAATGTTTCCTTCATTTTTTTGTTCGTATCATTTTTCGTTCATTTCATTTTATTCGTTCATTACACATCAACGAATATTATTGCAAAATAAATATTTTCTAAATTAATAAAATATATTTTATTCTACAATAACATTCACTACGTTTACTATTTTTAATTTTAATAAAAATTCGTGAAGTACAAGAATAGAGTTTTGAAAGTGTCATCATTTTTAGTCAATACGCGATTAAAAACAGTAGTGTTCTGTAATTTATTTTGTCATCATATTTGTAAAAGATTGTTATAAGAAGACTGAAGAATTTATAAGATTACACAGATCACCTCAATTGATTTACATCACTCAATTTTCATGTATCAAGTTTTAAATATTCTCTGTTCAATCTTTACTAATTGTAAGAGCACAATTATGGTCATCGACTGCAAAATATATTATAGTTATTTTGGTAATGAACTGATGTTCCAAAATGATATCACAATAAGTCAAAATACATATTAGTAAAATATTTCATCCTAAAAAGTTATTTTTAGAGATACAAGCAGAATTACATCTATTTTGTTTTCAAATAAGATTAAGTAAAGGCAATAAAAGTTAGAATAGGATTTACACGCTTCATTACTTTCACATCCGGAATCGTGGGCAAAAGTTTTCGCACAATTTCCATCTGGTCGAATCGAGAAAGTGCGATCGTTGAACCAATAAGAGAGACATAGCGATTCAATAGTATGCGAAACTACAGAATGTACCTGTATAACACTGTTGAACCAATTTAAACTTTTTTTCGTATTACAACATTCAATATATGTATCCTTAATACGTGTGCTCGTTACGGGCGTGCAAACTTTTCTTCACGTTCCAATTTTGAAAAATTTTTATCGTAAAATATTCGTAATTTTTATGTCGAAATAAATTTTGTAACGCAACTCGATTTATGAGGTTAGTAACAAATTTTGGATTTTGAAATATACAACATGTGACACAATTTTGTAAATTTAAAAATATCGTAAAATATTACTCATTGCAAATGTATGTTCATTTAAAGTTTAATACAAATTTGGTAATTCTGTAAAACAAAAAATTTGCACTTTCCTCTTAAATGATAGTCAGACTTGAAAAATTACATTGTTAAAGTTTTTGCAAATGTTTTTCTTATTTCTTGTATTTTAAAAATTATAAGAATGTGAAAGAGTGTGATGTCCATTGCACTTTGAGGTTAGTTTTCATATTCTTAAAGGACGATTGGTTACGAACTATGTATACCGTTATCCTTACCTTGAATCACGCTATAATCCCATAACGTTTCATTTAAATTTGTGAGTACCGGTTCGTGGAGTTCCGTTGTAATTCGTGCCATAATTCGTTTAGACAAAAACTTTGCTCTCAGAAAGTACGTTTCGCATTATTATCTGTTTGAAAACTTTACTTGCGTGTTAAATTATTATTAGCAACAAAGCAAATGATTGTCTACTACGCTTTTATGAACATATTGATCCATAATTCCAATGATAGGGTAACGTTACCTAATATGAAGGCCTCTCCTAATATATGATCCCAATTTATCTGCGTTTTGGAGCTTGTAAAAGTTTAAAAGTCGTTAGGATGATGCTTTATTTCGTAATTAACCGGTTATGCGTGTTTTATCATCACATTGGTTTTAAAATCAATTAAACACCTTGAACAATCTCGTATTTGTGAAATACGTTGCGGAAAGTTTTTAAAGTGGTTCGATTAAATTACAAATGCCTCATGCTAGGTGTATAATCATTTTCTTAGATACTGTTACATAGAGCATGCGATGGAGTTTAAGACTTACTAATTACACATCATTAAGTAACGAAGATTCAGCCTCGAAGTTGCTTGATAGTTACAAACTTATGGTTTCCTGATACGACACTCCTGAAAATTGTTATTATAAGCTGGATTTTGATAAACAAGTTAATCCTGAAACTTATCTTTTTGTGTTTTTCACAAATTGGGCACGTGAAATTTATTTTTTTAGCACTGCGGTCTTCACGGATCCATCGATAACGCTTTGTATACTTAAGTCAACTTTATGCAGTTAACGATGAAAAGTATTATCGATGGACCAAACTATGATGATACAGAAATAGATTTCGTATGTTCAATTCACGAAAAAATGCAGAAAAAATAAATTTCAGGAACAAGCAGACTTGATTTCATGTTAGAAATTTATTTTTTACTTGTGTATTTGTGTAATTACCGTTTTCATTTATATGAATTATTATTTCTACGATGGACCCGAATTTTTGTGTTGCATTTTCCAGTAAGAAAGAATGCATATTACTTGTTAAAGGTGCTTTGAATTTTAATAAAAGCGATCTTAATTGAGAGTTACGACATTTTTAGAAAAAAACTGCTTATGAGATGTTTTTCCTCAAACCGTTATTAAAAGTGTCATTTCGTTTCACAGTAGGTTTCATGCACCTTTAATTAAAGCACGTACAGAAATAAAAAATGATACTGCGCTATATATTGTTTCACGGGCTACTACTCCTTGCATGAACTTGTAAATGTGATTTCCGTACTTATACGCTCGCCACCGTATATCAAATTAATTATCACGGAAGTTTTCAGTAGACGTTCGTACGATTTTTCTATTATGATTCATTTCTTTTCTGATGTGATTAAAAAACATGCACAAGAAAAATTTAATTCATTACGTGGAATTCAAGGAAATGGATAATCAAATAAATGATAGAACAAGTGAAAGGATGTCCGTAATTATAATAGATTTAAAGTACGCTATCAAAGAAGTCAGTAGCATGCTATTTTCTATTCCTCAATTTACGTAAAATATTTAGTTCACGAATTCATTTAAGAGGATGGAATTGATATTTCGTGTTATTCCGAAAAACAAGGAAACTCTTCCCGTGATAACTTTTAAATTAAATTTGTTTTTCCAATTGATTTATCAATCTTCTCTCGCGGAAGAATTATTTATTGACGCAGCATATGAAAAGGCTGATAGTTGAACGTTGGTAGATAAAACTTGACAAAATGCATAGCTAGTTTTTTTCACTTTTTATTGTAAGTAATGTTTTGTTGTGTTTATTATAATTATTTAGTAAATTTTAAAATAACAATATACATTTTTAAATTTGCTAGCATATGTAGTTATTCTGTTAGGAATTAATAAATAGCTTTTGCAGAACAAAATTATATTATGCATTAGATAATTAAGAAAATTATATTATATAATGTATGTATATGAGAATATTAACTAAATTAGATTATATTAAGTAGTCAAATTTTTAAATTTTAATCTTATTAAAATGTAGAATACCTTTAAACAATGTGTGGTAGAAAGATGAAGTACTGTTTGATTTTGTACGTCATTTATCCTCATTTATTAAAATGGAATAAACTTTCTGAACTTTGACATTTTATAAAACATCAACTACGGAGTTATGAAGAATTAATTGTATTTTAACTTCGGAATTAAATTAAATAGTTAAATGAATTTTTTCATATTATTTACGGTGAAATGCATTTCCTTCAGGATATGAAGAATTTATAGTTAATGTTGCAAAAGCTTGAATTCAATTGAAAATTTCAGAATTGTTTATAATTACAAATTATAAAATTGCTTCCTAATATTCAGAGAATTTTTATGAAGTTATATTCTTATTATTTTTAATAAGAAAAAGTATTAATATTAATATCTTAGGAGATGTGTCAAACATAAAAATCACATTAAAGCTACATTCGATGATGCTTATTTTGAACATTAACAATTTTTTAATAACCAAAATAGTATGAAAACAATCTCAGTTTCTTTCATCTATTCGATTATCTAATAATGAAGTGTGTTCATGAAATGGTGAAATGTCGCATTTCATGGACACCAGGTAAAAAGAAACAAGTCAAACAACGACGATGAGTAAATCGAGCCATTAGCAAATCACGGGATAAAAGCAGAAAGGAAAAATGTGGATCAAAGAGTGAAGATTTTTTGGATGACACGGAAAGAGGAAGTTTTAAAAGCTTAGAAGAGAAAATTATGCGACATGTGAGGAATTGAGAACAACCAGATAGCGTCAAATACTCAGAGTGTGTCTTTGGCAAACTCAGTAGACAGAAATTAATAGGAATAGCTGTAAGCGTTTTAAGCGATCGATATTTTCTTCCTTTCTCAAGATATTTATGCTTCGCGTGGAAAGAACAAAGAGCGTTTTGTAGATGAATTCAACACGTTCGAATCATAAATTTTAAAGTAAAATATTGTTTTTGATAATAAATTTAAATGTTAATTTTAAATTATTTTTAACTTTTGTGATTCAATGTTTGAGAAATGACTTTGAATAATAAATGATCGATTTATTGTTAAAGTTTGAAATTTTACTTTTATTAATAACATTGCTATTGTTATTATTTCTTTTCAGGTTTTACGTCGCATCGACCTTCAGGTCATTATTGTTATAATAATGTTATTCAGTACAAGTTTAGAATTTTTGGAGTTTAATTAATTTATATACAGTGCAACAAACGTATTACATTTGCATCGAGACCCTCAAATTTTTTTTTAAAGGATGATATATCAAAACTTAACAAGTAAGTGTTTTTAAACAAGGTAAGTGTTAATACCCTTACAAATAGAAATTTTTGTAATTTGCTTTCAAAAATTATTCCAATTAATATTATTACATCAATGTCTGACATAAATTCCTTTGCTTCTTTATTTTAATTAATAGATTTATAGCATGTGCTATTTATGATACGTGAATATCTACGATTTAACGTTATAAAAAGAATGTTCTTATTAAATTATATTCATACTCCGCACGTTTTTCCCTCAAGCTTCATCCTTTACGCTTTGCTGCCTAAAATGGTTTCGATTACGGTCTGTTTCTCCAGAACCGCGATTTTCCAAGTCTCTTTGCCCGCTAGTCATTTCAATTTCCGTATAAACGTTTTAATCATTCGGACGAGCAAACAAAGTATTTTTTCTAAAACCCTGTAACAGGGAGTGCTACCGTAACTTACGTTTCAATTATTACGTATATTTTTTAATATTTTAGCATTTGACTTCTTTGTAATATTTTATAACAACTGTACCATAATTAATTTTTTGTGCAATTTTTTAAATTGAATTTAATGCTTTTTATGATGTTGGTTCTGCTTTTTGTAGTATTTACATAATTATTAATTTATAATTATTAACATTGCTTATATTCTATAATAGTATTATGTATTACATAGTATATGTAATACTGCAGTATAATGTGTATATATGATATATTACACTATTATGTAATATACTGTTTTTATAAAAGTAATATACAATATTCCTAAATTAATAAAACATAATTGTTTTCCTAATTTTGTCTCTTCATTTTTACTTTTTTTATCTGAATGTAAATTACGTTTCCTTTCATTAAATTTTCCCAATGATTCTTTTGACCCTAAACTTATTTCGAGCTTATTCTTGCATATTTTTTCAATTTTCTGTACAAAGTGTTCTTTCCAGTTTGATTTCAAATAAAACCCCTTTTATACGCCATAATCGGTGAAATAAAGAGGCAAAAATCATTACTTTCATAATACTCATTTCGCAGACCAATGACCATTCGAATACTTGTTTGTTCATATTCATTGAAAGTATTGTTCTATTCATTAATGTAGGTCATATAAAAAATTAATTAACACACGTTTTACTGTGTTATACAGCCTGACTTTGTCCGCTCTAGAAACACCTGTTCAAGACATTAATTCTTTCTTTAAGATTCCTGCAATTAGAAGTAATTAGAAATCCATGCAGAACCTGTATTGTTCACAGTTGTCCTAAATTAAATATTTTCTATTTTATAAACTATTTTAATATTTCTGTTAGATATCTTGCATTCATCATAATTTGAATATTGTTTGCAAACTTCGTGTTCAATATGTCAATTTGCTTTTATAACAAAATGAAAAAGGACACTTCCATTTCAATTATTAAAAATGAAAATTCCTCCATGACGTCAGAATATAATTCAAGTTCTGTTATGAAAAATACCGATTAAATTCGCTTTTACCTACCGAAACAATATTCGCTGTAAATGTTCAGAAAATGATTGGAAGTGCACTTTGAAGAATTAATTTTTCAGTACGTGTCACAGAGTGCATTTTTCCTTTCAATTTTTAAGAACGAAAATTTATAAAAGTTTCGCTTCGTTCTTGATATTTTATAATTCATTCGCGCTTATTTTTAGGTGGCTCCTGTAGTTTAAAGAATTCAATTTTTCCGACAGTCGTCTACAAAGATATTGGAAAACGATATGATCCCAGTTTTACACACACTGGGCAATATTCCAACTATTCGTTGTAAAAGATGAAACGACTGAATGCCTTCAATATCTTATAGTTAACCTACATTTTCTGGTATCTACAGTTTGCCTACTGTTTCCTTCATGTACGTTTGTCGATAGCCTCGATTGTCCAAGAAGATATTGAAGATGTATCTGAAAGCTCTCTTCTTTTCACAAGTTCGAAGTACTTTTCTTTGTGTCTACCGTTAACACACGTGTAACGTTGTGGAGTCAACATTATATCAATATTGACACAGTGTAGCAGTGATTTATATGTGTACATTGTATTAGTAATTATATTTGTGCAATGGTAGACAATAAAGATTGGACAAATTTAAAATAAACTTAAATAAATAATAACTGACATAATAACTGACGTTCCAAAGCAAATATTATTTCCCTTAGCATTTATGATATATTACGACCAAATGCTACGATGTCTAATATTTAATATTTACTAAACTTAAATAATAAAAATTTTAAGTTAAGTTTTTAAAAATATTTTATTATTTTAAGTCAAATAATAAAAATTTTAACATTTTGAAAATTACAAGTGATGTGTTTATTTCAAGATTTATCCTGAAATTTTGATTTTAGTACAAATTTTAGAGGAGTGAAGGAACCCGTAAATATTTAGAGAGGAAAGATGAGGAAACAAATTTGCCCTTTTAATAAAGCTAGGGAGAGCAGGGTTGCTTTTCACAAATATTAAACTTAAAAATTATGTAAATTTCAACATGGTCGTTTGTGGATTATCTTGTTTTTTCATGTTTAAAGTTTTAAGTCATAATTTTACTAAAACAACGGATGTACATTTTTAAAAGCATATACCTCAGAACAGAATTGAAACATTTTACTTTTCTTCTGTGAATGTAAGAATAAAAGTGTATAGAAATCAATATAACATTTAACAATTAATTTTATAACACAGATATAAACTTATGTAAATAATTACAAAAATTTGTAAAAATTATTCTAAAAAACTTCTTAAACTTGACAATATCTTGTCTATCATAATATTGCAATAATATGCACAAAGCATAAATAATATATAAATATTGATTTTCTTAAGTTCCAGTTTCAAGTTGTTTAAGGTTGAAGAAACAATAAAAAGATTGTTCGGTAAAAATTTTTAATTTGTTTTCCAATTTTATCTGTCTCTTGTTCCGATTTTATTTCAATCAATTTAAAAGTCAGATCACAATTGAATATTAAAGTTGTACGTACCTCACCAACTGACAACGTAATTTAAAGGCAAATTTACATTTAAGCATTAACTCAGATTGCATTAGATGTTGGAACTCTTTGAAGCATGCAGTCCACTTATCTTTTTGGCGAATACAGGTTTTGCTACATCTTTCAGGGTTCTTTCAACTCTAACCGGTCAAAAAGAAAATTCAAAAAAATTTCTACTTAACCTTTTGCACCTTCTGATTTCACCCCAAATGTAGAACCCAAGTCGTATAGCATCTGTGCATTAAAATTGTACATCTCTTACGAAATAACAATATGGTATATTTAAACATCAATTCAGATTATGTCAGATGCTGAGACATTTTAAAACATGAAGTCGATTTATCATTTTAGCAATTGCGGGTTTGCTACATCTTCAGACCCCAGTCAGAACGTTTTCTCCAGCTTCAACTGATCAGAAAAAAATTCAAAAAAATTTCTACTGAATTTTTCGTGCCTTCTAATTTTACTCCAAATGTAGGACCTAAGTCGTATTGCATCTGTGCATTAAAATTGTACATATCTTATCAAATATTAATATGGTACATTCAAATACTAATTAAGAGTACATCAGATGCTAAATGTTCAAATTGTACATTTTGAAACGTGCAGTCCACTTAGCATTTTACCAAGCACGGTTTTGCTACATCTAAAGGCCCAAGTTTCCTTCAACTCTAACCGGTGAGGAAGTCGAAGATGCGTGTAGAAGTGTTTTCACTGAAAGCCGAGTGGCACGCGTGTTCGGCCGTATAATCGAGGCGAATCGTGCCGGGAATACGAGCGAATGCCTCGTTCTAATGACCTACTCCTACATCGAGTAGAAGGGACCGTAGTCGGCTTCGAGCAGAGTCGAGTTCAGTCGTCGCCTGACCGGGGTCTGGGCCTTTTCCTGGGCCTGATCGTCACTCGATGCCAGAGACGCGCACCGTCTCGTGAAAGTTGGACCTTAGTTCCTTTCGTGCACACCGTTCGCGTTCATGCACACATTTCGACCCTGAATACTGGTTCAGTGTCGGGTTTCCGGACAGCTTAAGCTCTCCGCACAATTGTTCTTTCACTTTACGTGTGATACGACTGATTAGACGAAAAGTGCATCCTTTGGATTGGTACATGGATTATCATTTATTTCTGTACGTATGACACTTGTCGAATTTTGATACTCCTTTTTGACCGAATACAGGAATATTGCACTATGGTGCCTCCCTGTTGTCGGATGTTCAAAACTAAATGTTTCTTCAGGTTAAACTGTGTTCGGGTGTTTTTGGATGTTCTTTGTTCTTTAATTATTCTATGACGAAATGGCTTAGCAAGTTTGATGGAACTATAGCTAGAAAAACTGGGTTCTTTGTTAAGTAGAGAATGGGTGTGAGGGGACTCCAGAGAAACTGTTCAACTCTAATAATGTGGTAGGAAAGTAATCATTGTTATCCATGGTAGTTTTCCATATCAGTCGTGGGTAATTTATGGTACATAAACATTACTTGTTAATTAGCGTAGAGTGAATAGACTTTGGATGAAAGTAAGTTGTTTACTAGAAATTTGATAGCAATCTGAGAAATATTTCTTTATGTGTCTCAAGTATTTAACATTGGAAAGTCTACAAGTGTTTGAAGATTAGTCAGGGATATGTTATTTAATATTTAATTGGTAGCCATTATTGAAAGTGATTTTGGAGGATAACGAAACAATCTAGTTAGCTATTATTTATTACTTTATGAAATTTAATACTGATACTGATATCTTTTTGGCAGAAGACCAAGTTTCAAAACATTTGGAACAACAATGCATTTTACTTGATATGAAGTATAAAAAACAATTTGTGTTTCTATTTTCTCTTATTTTACAATAATTTGTCATTCAATGATCATTTGTGAATAACTTAAAACGAAAGCACAGTATAAAACTGTAGCACTGTATGTAAAATAAAAAATCTTAGTGCAGTATAAAAAACCAAAATAATAGAACATGAAATGGAAAAAAGATTAATCTTCTTCGTTTTTATGATGTGAATGACTATGTTAGGTAAACAATGACTTGGTCCCATAATATATATCTTTAGAAGCATACAGTGTCAAAAATGCAAATTACAAAAAACAGCTGTAAAAAAATGTTGTGTACTAATAAGTACCTGTCAAAGATATTTTATACGCAAAAACGAATAAATCAGAAAAAAAACAGTAATAAATTTATTAAATATTGAAGCACATATGTATCTATCTGAAATTAATCACATGAAAAAAACATTGTATATGTTCCAAATAGTGAAACAGAATATCAACAGTATAATATTTCACAGGTGATTATTAATTCACATATGTTTTATGTTTTATGTACATACATTTGTCATAAAAAACATACAGAAATATTATTTTATATTGTCATAGGTGCTGCTAATTGGTTTTGATGTCATATTAAACATATAGATCTGATAAACAGTTCTGACAAATATTAGAACTTGAGGATACTTGTCAATCTTTCAAAATAAAACTTTTCTTTCTGAAAATTGATTAAAAATCATTAATTTTTATTTTATATAGGGCTTTAATAATTAAATATAATATCTTGATTGGACAACAAAGAAAGCAGAAATTTTAAGACCATTTCTTTAGATTTATTTCTATTTTTTTAGAGTTAATGAAAATAACGTGTACTAATTGACATTTACATGAAAATTAAAAAAATTATATATGAACGCCTAAATTAATTTGTATTGAGTACTAAAAGATACGCTTCAAAAAGTTGCAAGCTTTATTCTTTGTTAAAATAAATCGAAAAGTTTGCAATCATTGCTTTTCATATGTAAGCGATATAAAAGTGAACTTTTAAAATTCATGAAAATTTTTCTCTTGTAGCTGAAACAAAGCTATCTTTCACGATTTACTATCCTTGCAAAAAACAAACAAAGATATTGAAATAGAACTAAAAAAGTTTACAATTTAAATTTTAAATCAAACGTGTAATATTTTTTCATAAAAAAATATAGTATATACAGTATATTGTATACAAGTAATTTTAAACAATATAAACGAGAAAAGGTGTTTTGGACTGCATAAAACAAAAATAATATGAAGAAATCATGTGGAAATTGAGATGAGGAAATTCTGTTCTATGATTGAAAAATATCATAAAATGATTCTACATCAAATTTACCTCTCGATTTTCAAATAAAAATTACTGCCTCTAGTACTTTAATAACACAAGTAATTTTATTCGTCATATATTAGGGGGACCGAAAAGTTTGCTGGCGAAAAACATTTATTATTAAAGAAATCTTAAATGCTAATCAACAAAATAATTTCCATCATTTTCTAACGATTTTTGCCAGTTTAAAGGCAATTGCTCGATTCTCTTCTTAAAAAAAGTCCTTCGATTTTTCATTGAGAAACTTTGAAGTCATCGACGAAATTTTGAATACTTTTCGGTACCCCTAATATAATGTCGATATCTAATAAATTATGCTTATAATGAAGTTATTTAGATTGCAGTTATAAATAAGGATATGTACTAAATCCTTTCTTTTAAACAATTTGTTGCATACAAATGTTTTTAAAAGCTAATGAGATTCTCGTTCAAAATGCCTACCGTCAAATGGGTAGGCAAGTTTAATTATTTTTGTGCCACGGTATGAATGTAAAGATATTATCTGTAATGTCTCACCTAACCTAACCATTATCATCCTAAATATCTCAGCTAGGCACTGTAGAAAACAGTTAACGCTTCAAAAACCTCCTAGAAATGTTTAAAAATCAGAGGTGATTAAGGTCGTCTTCTAAAAGTCTGAGTATTACTAATCTCCCAAAATACTGTCAAGGTTAATTAAAAATCCAGTCCCATCATGAGCATTTACAGGCAAAACTAAAAAATACAATTCTGTTAGTATTATGAAAGGTTATTTAATTTAAATGGTCTCGTAATCAATTAATTACGTGTACTCACACAAACGAATATGTGTGAAGACGTACTGTTTACTTGTCACAAAATGAGACTTATCAGAATGTTGAAAGTGTGGCGATTGGTTGAAGAGAAAAGTTATATCTCACAGTTATACCAGTCAGATCGAAAAATAAGGAAAGTTAGGTTCTCCTCTTAGAGGCCATTTTGTGACGAACGCATAATATCTACCATAACAAACACTAAGGTAAATGATCTTATTATTAAATTTACCAAAATGCGATCATTTAAATATATTTATTTTTTATTATAATCTTTTTATAATATTTAAACTAAGGTGAAGTGGGGTAAGTTCGTAAACGGGGCAAGTGCGTATACAGGCTATTTTTATTACAATACGAACGAAATTTCTCCATTTAGTATGTTTGTTTCCTTGTTTTGTTTCACTATATCCCCTTCTATATTTCAGCTAAGAGTACTTGTTTGCAGTATAGAGTACTTGCATAATGCAGTAAAAAGTATTTTATAGCAGATTTGTTAATAATTCTGCTCTTGCCCCATTGCATATGAAATAAAGTTTCAAAGTATTTAACTTCACGTTACGTTCTTACCCCATTTTCGGGGAAAATGCAGAGTAGTTGACATTTTAGACAATTTCCTATCAAAATCAAAATGTACAAAGAAAATTAAGGTCCTAGTTAATATTAATTAAATAGTAGTAATTGTGCAAAGTGTTCTATATCGACAGCGTTAAGTATTTACACAGCAAACTGAAAATATTTACGTTTAAATACCAACTTTACAAAAACCAGTCTGCACTTACTCCACTTCACCTTATACAATTTTACTATAATATTTAAAGTTAGGTTTAAAATATTTTATCAGACTATCCAAGTACTTGGAAAATCGTTAAATTGTTACTTTAAACACCCTATTTATTTGCAAAAATATAGTATTTGGTAATGAATAGAATCATAAATAAATTCAGTGCAAACTGAAATAAATTCATTATAAATGGTAAAATAAAACTGCTTCTAAAAACATTTGAACAGAGCTTACCTTATTAAAATTTCTAATTATACAAATATCCTAATGAAAGAACCTTTGAAATAATAAATGAATTACTGTTAACTTCACTGTTTTGAGGTTTCAAATAGTAAATCGTATTTATCATTTTTGGTAAAATAAGATAAAGAATTGGTCACTATCGATGACGTGTTTGATAATGTACCTTATCAAAAACTAAGGTATTTATTCTAGTCTTTGTTAAGCTATGAAAAGTGTCAAGAGTGAATGACCTCTTCCTGTCGAGTGTTTGTATAAATGCAAACACGTATCTACACTGAATTCTTGTCTATGTTAGTAGGTACAAGTGATCGGAAGTCGTCTAATCGCTTAGTCATCTGTGAGTTAAATATGGTGTCTCGAAAGTTGAACGTCCAATTCCAAATGCTTTATATCTGAGAAACAAGGATTGCGAAATGGTGTAGGAATATTTCATTTGTTTTGATACAGAAAATCCAAATTTTTGATTACAAGATTTAACAAAAAGATTATATGTATTGTCTTTAACAATATTATATTTGTTAATTTTAGATGTGAGGTAACGAACATTGCAAATTACATTTTAATCTTTCATTGCAAATTTTATTTATTTTAATTTTGGTTTCGAATATTGTTTTTTTAATATTAAGCGCACTTACCGTATGTATAATTTGAGATATTTGAAGAAAATTATGTTTAAATTCATTTCAAGTTTGAAAAATATTGTTAATTTCTAGTATAAACTATTGCACTACACTTGAACCAGCGTAGTGGTATGAACTATTGCACTACTATATTTATACTGCTATAATAATACAAAGTATTAGACAATTTACATAGATTATTATAATAGTATAAATTATTGAATTACTAATTATTGAATATGTGAGCTCTTAAACTACTATACTTAGACTTCTGTAGTAATTATAGTAAACTACCAAATTTCTATACTTTCATTTGTATAGTAGTATAAAGTATTGAATTATTATGTTTAGGTTGCATTAGTAGTACAAATTATTAAGCTACTAATCTAACCATTGCAAAAGTATACTTGGCTTGTAATAATAATATAAATTGTACTAACATATTCAGACTACTACAATAATGAAAACTATAATACTAAACTTAGGTTTTTGCTATTACAATTGTAGTATATGTACATATAATGCTGCGTTTTGACCTAGGGTTTCGCTCA